AAAAAGCAATGGTACACAGAAGACGATTTCTCAAAATCTACTCATTAAAATTTTGTGATATTTGGCAGAATTTTGACTTTTATCGTATTTTAGATAATGAAAACTTTAAAATGGAAGTTGAACAGACGAATTTCGTGACACATTTAATAATTACAATACAATTATATTATTGATTATCTAAAAGTCCGTCTGTTAAAATTTGATCAAATAAGTTTCAAATGGTAATGATTAGTTACAGTAAGCTGTGTGCAAGTTTATAGGAAAATCTAATGAGCGAATTTTATGTAAACTGAACAAAAGTGAAATTTTAAGGTTGTTTTCAATCGTTCATGTTGCCATGGAAACTACGAAAACGTCAAATTTTACCTGTCAATCAAAATCTTTCATCAGTATATTTTTCACCTGCCAAGTTTCAGCTTGTGAGCTGCAACCTTTCTCTTGCCATGATTTGGCAAATGACGTACACTTACAAACTGCCAAAACTGCGTTAAGCCACCTTAAAAGAAATATAGACTTTGAAAAATAGAATCCCTGTTGTGGAACGAACCGAAGCTGAAATGGTTGCTTTGATAATATTGACTCGGTGTTGACATACACGAGTCGGCAATGGAAGCGTTTTTAGCACTTATTCGGTACAATGAGATAAAAATCAAAAGGTAACAGTTACATATGTGTATATTATTCGATATTCAAGCGGTAAGAAACATGTGGAAGGTTTTCCAGAGCAATTTTTAAATTGTTTGCGTAGGTATGTAGGGAAACATGTTGCCCCTGTAAATTGATTTAGGTGGCAAAATGGTCTTCACGTTTCCGTTTCTCTACGGGACACTTTTTGCGGGCCGCGGAAAACATTTTCACACAACAAAGTATAAAGGATGTGCTTTACGACCATACTAGTTTTGGCCTCAAATTCCATGTACCAGTGGGCTTTTCTTGGGGTCGAAGTAAGCAAAAATTAGCCTATTCGCTCAATCGCTTCAAGTGGGGTAACTAAAACGCCCAGAAACAAGACTATTTTGACAGCTTTTCACAAGTAATCTAGTGTTTTAGAAAGAGCAAGTGAAGTACTATGAAATGTCAAAAGTACATCGCTAGATGTTATCACGTTTAGCAGCACGAGCGAAACGAAAATGCATCATTTTTGTCAATTTTCAAAGGCGGCGGGAGGCCAAAATGGCGATTTTCAAACTTTCCTCGATTTTGAAAAAACTCGAGCGCTTTGGGATCTTTTAATTGTATTTTCGAAAATAACTCAATAAAGGCTTTATCTGGGCAAAATATGAAGAAAGTGAAAATTTTGAAACTGTCGCCGGATTCTCGATATTTACAGAAACTGGCTCTTAAACACTGAAAGAGGGAACATTTGTGGTGCTGTATATCTGGATCTTACAAAAGCGTTCGATACAGTCGATCATGGGATCTTGATGTCCAAACTGTCATCAGTTGGAGTCTCCCCCGGTCTTTGGAGTGGTTCTCCATGTATCTGAGTAAGGGGCCGACCATTTAACTCCTGAGGGGGGGTGTGGGTGATCTCTGGTCATCAAGAATACTTTTTTCTAGCAATCTGGTGGGCAGGATATGAATGCCCTGACAGTAACCAAACAGAAATCTTCCTTTGGAGTCTTTTTAAGCTTGAGCCACACCCACAATAGTCTCCCTTCGTGGTTTAATTTCAATTTTCCGACACGCATCCCCTCACTTTTATATGGGATTCGCCTCCATGCCGAATATAATTATAGCACAAGAAATTAAATAGTGACATGCTTAGACTAACCCATGCTATCAAAATTGGGGTAAGCAACGAGTGTGTTATCACTCTCTGAAATGTTGGAATAATCTCGACAAGAAATAAGAAATGCTACTGACATTGTAAACTTTAAGCGTAGCTTGGCTGTTGCCATTCGTTGTTAACGTTTAGGTTTTCATTACTGAAAATATGACTGCGTTTGTTCTTGTCGACAATTCTGTCATTTTATAACAAGTTGCCTGCATAGCTTACTGTCATTTTAAAGTTTACTTTAAATTTAAAACAAAGTCCAGATCAACAAGTTACACAAGAGACAAGGAAAAAGTTTTTAAAGGATCAAAGGGCCTTTAAGGTTACATCTCTGATTATAGCGATGATACTACTATGCTCTTTACCAACGACTCTTGTTAGACTAGTGACAACTATGGTTCCTAATCTACTATCATTGGAACAGAAACATGTGCTTTTCTTTCCAGTCACGGCGATGAGTTTGTTTAACTCTTTTATTAATCTAATGTCCGATTGAACTTGCATATGGAACCACAAATCTCGTTGAAGCTGAAGAAAACGAAATGCGAAGCATCAGTCCTCTCAGCGCTGGGCCAAGAGTTCAAGAAGGGAACTAACACAAATGGTTTATAATTATTATTCGTTCAAAATATTTCCCGGCCCAATTCGGATTGGCTAAAGGCACACTCATATTTCACCATAAGCTACTGATGACCAAATTTGCAAGAATTTTGAGATTAATCAACCGATGAAGTCAAAAGTGCAGCTTCCTTACAGTTAAATGCACCGTCAACCGAGAAGACTTGGGGACGATCGCGAGGTTGAGTTCTTTTGGTTGTGAAAACAAAAATGACAACTCGGAGGGAATAAACAGCTAGGCTGCGCTCCTGAAAACGAGGTTGGTCGATACTTGGCTTTACATCGGAAGCTTAGTTAGTTTCAAGTAAGCAATTGATTTAAGTGCGCTGCTCAAACTCATTAATAATTTATAAAGAAAATACAGAGGAAATTAATATTAAATGAGTGTTTAGAAATCAGATGAAAAACTGCTCATTTTTGCATCCTTAATTTCTCCTCGTAAAATCATTTTCTAATAACGGAGGTTTTATAAAAACAGTTGAGAATAAAAATAACCGATAGCAATGAATGACGTTTCGATGACTCCATGTCATCCTTTTAATTTTAAATTCGTATAGTTCGTGATTCCGTGGGTTCAATATAGGGAGTTGCGTGCGACAGTTTATTTGCATGTGATTAAAAGAGAAAAATACAATATGAAGTGTAAAAGGAGCTAATTATCAGGTTAATAGTTTTAGTGAGCTAGAGTCAGATTGCCAGGGTGTTCAGTTTAGGTTTCTTTTCTTTGATAAAGAGCATTTCGTAAATATAGCAATCCAGCTTTCCACGGCATTTCTTCAGGATGGTAAATTGGTCAAGTAGATGGCGATAGATTTATGATAATAGTAATAAAAAAATTTATATATCCGTTTATTTACCGCATTGCATAATTAACTGAATTAAAGGGCTATAAATTAACAATCAGCAAATAATTAACACTACTACTACTATAGAAACAATAAAAATATCTTAAATAACTATTTACATATTTACATATTTACATTGCCAGAAATAGTGGACATTTCGCGCCCGTGATTAATTGTCAGCGGAATCTCATTTCCAAAATGGCGGACAAAAACGATCGTAGTCAGGGAAAGCGTATCCCCTGCGATTTTTTAAATAATTTGAGCTCTGTGGATCTGTTTTACGAAGAAAAAAGCTGGAATGAAACACCTTGCAAGAAAATGTTAGGTTTATACTCGGCCGAGCGGCTGATAGCAACAAAACAGTACGCGGCTGTACCTTTCGTGACATTTTCGTGACATTTTCGTGACAATTTTGTTTTAAAACCAAGCCTGGTAGGCTAATCGAGGATTTTTGAATGCCTGGAACCTAGTTTATATCCCGTGAAGCATCTCTGGAGTTGTAGCAACAACCAAAATGGCGATTCGGTGAGGTTTGGAGTTGTGAAGCTTTGTCCGACCGAAATAAGTCATTCGCAACCATGGCGTCCATTACTGGACTATAGATAGAAAACTGCGGGAAATAATGCGCCTTTGGAAGTATTTTCCAGTGCAAAAATCGTCCTTTTAACAACTGTTTTATAAACATCTTCCATCGCAGAAGTGATATCGAGTCGTGCAAATTTACTTCAGTGAAGGGTTTATCCTCTAATCGACGAGTATTCCGCATGACTTCGGCAAGATTTTAAGACAATGTATGGAGAAATGGAGCGTACAACGAGAGATAAAAGTGGCCACTTCGGGAAGTAAGTAAACCTACTTCTACTTAGCTATTTTTAACCCAGATGCGAAGGTTACACAGCACTTAACATGTTTCGAGTCGTGCACCGAACACCCCTGAGTTCATAATCGATATATTTGAAAAAGTTTCCTTTTCTCCATACATTTTCTTATACGAATTCGCAGCCATTGTGGCCTTGGTGCGCACGCGCAACCGCCATCTTGTCCCTAATTTCTGGCAATGGTAGCGAATGAAATAAAGGAACCTGAGCGCTGGGTCCGGCAACAACTCCTATCAGCGTAAACAATATTTCTATTGTTGTCGCTGGTCCGCAAGTTGTAACTATGACCACTATTTTCTAGTTGCTGTTCTCGGCTTGAGGAAGTTAATGGTGTGGTCATTTTGAGTCATCTTCTAAATATATTTACAGCAGAGATGAGTTCGTCTTTCTTTCAAGCTGCCAAGGCTGGTAGTATTAAGGGCATCTAAGTAACTATGGCATGGATAGATAATATATAGTGGCCTTTTTTGAATTGACTCCAGCTTATTTGAAAGAAATTCAGGAATATCTTGCCAGACTTGCACGCCATATTCTAGTATAAGTATATTATTGTTGTCAAGTAAACTTTGAGAATTCCCTCTCTACTAACATCCACTTTTTTAAGAATCCTCAGGGAATACAGGCGTCTCGAAACTTTTTTCGATATGTAATCAATATGCTCGTTTTACTTTAAATCATTACTGATAATAATACCGAGTAATTTAAAAGTTGTTACACATTCAACTCTGTTGTTACCTAGGACAATTGGTCTTGTAGTAAAATTATCACTTTACAAAGTGATGATTTCTTTGGGTTTCAACGCACTTTTATTTGTTTATCCGCTAATAAATTAAATTACTACCTTTCTTCAAGCCTCAGCTCTTCGTTCTCCGGAGGCCTGGCGATTCGCATTTCATTTTCTTCCTCTTCAACGAGAGTTGTAGTTCCACAAGTTATAATGTCGATAAAAGCGACGCGAAACTTCCTTAATCGGACAGCGTAAATAATTGGATTAATAAAAGAGTTTAACAAGTTTATCGAAGTTATTGAAAGGAAAAGCATATATTTCTGTTCTAAAGGAACTAGGCTTGGAAACCTAGTTATCATTATTTTAATAACGATCATTGGTAAAGAGCACAGAAGTATCGCCGCAACAATCAGAGATGTAACTTTAAAGGCCCTTTTATCTTTTAATAATTGTTTCCTCGTTTCTTGTGTAACTTGCTGATCTGCAATTTGTCGCCGATGTCTTCGAGTTTCAAGGTAAACTGAAAAATGACAGTAAGCTATGCAGGCAACAGATAGTAACATTATTGTATTATCGATCATAACAAACGCAGTAGTATTTTCAACAAGGGGAAAACAAACGTTAAGAATGAGGGGCAACAGCCAAGCCAGGGCAGAGGCAATGAGCAGATTACTTTCTTTGACAAGAGAGATGTGCGCAAATGGATGCTTGATGGCTAAATACCTTTCCCCACTTATCAGCAACAGATGAAGAATCGACACGCCGACGAGCATGTTTATCAGAAAGCGCAACGCCATAAATGGGCATAAATCACTGTAATAGTTGACTAAGATTGATATCAGCCAAGCGATGAACACAGGCTGAGCAAAACTTGCAGCCATAAAATCAGTGGTAGCAAGCAGAGCGATCGCGATATTGGACTTGTGGGCCCTCAGTCGTCGTTTACATTTTACGGCGATTATCACCAACGCATTCAGGACAGCAGTGAAAGGAAAGGAGAAGACGTTGATGATTATATTCAAAATAAGGCAAACTTGAGCAAAAGGAGAAGCTTTTTCTAGTCTTCCTCCTAAGATAACATACATCCGACATTCGTGGTGCATCAATTCACTTGCGTTCATGCCGGACGGCTTCTCAGATTTACCTGAATTCAGTTGGTGGGTTGAGAACTGTTCACCAAACTAATATTCTCTCTGTTGACCTTTTACTCTTTGTTTTAAGATGGTCGTGTCACATGCACTTATCGTTGTCTGAGTGTTTGCCATGATTTTGTTTTTTACGCATAAATTTTTAGTGTTTGAACTATGTGTTAAGGGCTTTTTAGAAAACAGTTTCTTTTAGTGAATTTCCGTATGCCATCATCATTAACAAAAAATCTACCTTAACTACAAAAACTTGATGTGTGGTTTAGAATGGTTTTCTATCCGAGTTCCGTCGGCAAGGAATAGCCGCGAAAATATTTTTTTCACCTTTTAGCTTTTTTTTTGGAAAAAAGGGAAAAGGAAAAGGAGAAAAGAAACCCAAACAGCTGTTTAAATCCCCTTATAAAACATCAATAATTTAAAAGCGCTGTTAAGTTTGAGTTTCAATCACTTAAATTACCTATATTCACTTCTAAGCAACGTTTACGAAAAGTAATTATGTTTAAAATGACTGGCAATTTAGTCAATTAAGCTAAATGTTAATTCAGCGTGTTTCAAAAAATTTCAAAATCTACGTTGCATTTTGTCAACAATTTCCTGACTACGATATTTCCAGTGAAAGAAACTCAAACTTAAGGGAACCGATTTATCGAATAGGTGATACTGTGACGTGCATTCATACGTCACAAGAAGTTACATGTAGGAATTCCTTCCGTTTGCCCTACTGCAGGACAAATGTGAGGAAATTTTCACTTCCTTTTTCTCTTAATGCTTGTGTGTAATTTTTCGCTTCTTTCGTTTTTTTTATTTTTCTTTCGGTGTCACTTTTTTTTTTTGCATTTGGACGTCTAGTCTTATCTATATTTTTATCCTATTTAAAGATTATTTTCAATGTTACAAAGAAATTGAATGTGTTTAGTTAAATTGTTTTGCCGATGCCAGTATATGTTATTTCATAATTTTGGTAAAATAATAATAAAATCAAATAAAATAAATGTTAAAAAAATATATTCTCCAAGTGATGTACACTGTTTTGGGGGAAGACTCGAATATCCTTTTTCTATAACTGATTTTTTTCTCGTCCTGCTCTTTAAGGTCTCCTTTAAGACAAGAAAGTAAAAAAAATTAGATCAAAAGAAAAATATTACTCGAGTCATGAGCAAATCACTCTACATCGCCTACTCCAGTTCCATCATTAATTTGGCAAGTAATATCTTAGCCGATAAACTGTTGTAAAATGCAACGAACAAAGCCTTTCTTGAAACTACTTGAAAACACTAAGCTAGCTTTTAGCTTAATTGACTTTACTGCCAGTCATTCAAATCACAATCACTATTCGCAAACGTTACGCATATCAAGTGGATATAAATGATTTGATTTAAGTTCAAAAATAACAAAAAACCAAGCGCTGAACCAAGCCGAGAATTTTGAATTAATAATATTTTCTATGCCTATGTTGATTTCTTTATGAAGCGTGCTGCGTGGGCTTCGCTTCCTCCGTCCTCTCGTCTGGCCCTTGAGTCTTCTGTTGATCTGCGTGACAACGAGTTGAACGAGTTACAAAGCCAGTCGTTTTCTGCTTCTCCCGCGGTTTCCGTGAGGCCGGAGCCAATTCCATCCTCCCTCCTCCCGCTTGTGAGTTACCTCTTACTGCTGCCAAGAATCCTTTTCCAGCTGTTAATGCTGAGTTTTCCGATCTACTCCCAGGGTAATCCACTTCCTGCTGTATGAAAACCTCAGCATTCAAATAATTTGCTTTTAAATGAAGTTTTACTAAACATTGAAAGAGGGAACATTTGTGGTGCTGTATATCTGGATCAGCTTACAAGGGCGTTCGAGACAATCGATCATGAGATCTTGATGTCCAAATTGTCATCAGTTGGAGTCTCCCGCCGGTCATTAGAGTGTTTTTTTTCTCCGTAGTTGACTAATCAGAAACAGCCGAAACCCCTTGCGAGAATGAATTATCCGAAGCTCTTCCCGTTACCTTCGGGGTTCCACAAGGAAACATCTTGGGACCGTTATTCTTCCTTATGTATATCGACGAGCTACCTGCTGCTATTGAATACTCCGAGGTATCATTGTATGCTGACGATACTTTTCTTTAATGCTTCGCAAAAGAACCTCAACAGCTGGAGAGCAAGTTGAATGCAGATCTCTACAACTTAAAAATGCGGCTATAAGCGAACAAAATTGCATTGAACCTTTCAAAGACCAAATCCACGTAAATCAGAAGCAATAGAAAACTTAGTTAATATTTCCTCATTGCCCCTATCTATTTTTTTTTGTGAATAGATAAAGTAAATAGGTTAAATTATTTAGAGGTTATGCTGGCCCCAGACTTCACAAGGTCAGATCATCAAGGGTATGTAATTTCTTAAGTTAATCAACGGCTCGGTCGTTTACCCGTAGGATCAAGCATTTGTTACCCTTTACCGCTCGCCAACTTTTCTATAGCAGTCTTGTTTTAGCAGTTCATGATCATGCTGATTTGGTGTGGGGTGACAAAAACAATGTAACTCTTATGAATGACCTGCAGGTTTTGCAGAACAAGTTCGCGAAAATTAACCTAAACAGGCTACTTTATAGGTCTTTATTCGTTAGCTACTGATCCCCTAGTAACTTTAAACTGGCTCAACCTCATAACAACGGTCGATTTTATAATGGTTGTTTATACGTTTACAAGTGTTTTAATGGCCTTACGGATCACACTATGGAGCTGCCAGCAAACAGGGACGTTCATAATTACGCGGGGGGACTCCCATATAAAAGTGACGGAGATGCTCGTCGTCCCACTTTGGGGTGTCCTGAATTGTAGATTTTGGTCTCACTTAGGGTGTTTGGAGTGGACAGTCACTATATTTGCCCATTCAGGTATCGCTTATAGTACTGTGCATAACGAAATTCACAAAAAATGCCCCGACAGTAACCAAACAGAAATCTCCCTTCGGAGTCTGTTTAAGCTTGAGCCAACACTCACAATGGTCTCCCTTAGTGGTTCAATTTCAATTTTCCGACAAGCATCCCCTCACTTTTATATCGGAATCCCCCGCCCGGATATAATTATAGCACAAGATATAGTGACATGCTTAGACTAACCCATGCTACCAAAAATTGGGGTAAGCAGCGAGTGTGTTATCACTCTCTGAAATAATCTAGACAAAAACATCAGAAATGCACCTGACATTGTAAACTTTAAGCGTAGCTTGGCTGTTGTCATTCGTAGTTAACGTTTATATTTTTTCATTACTGAAAATATGACTGCGTTTGTTCTTGTCGATAATTCTGTCTTTTTATTACAAGTTGCCTGCATAGCTTACTTCCATTTTAAATTTAAAACAAAGTGCAGATCACCAAGTTCACACAAGAGACAAGGAAAAAGTTTTTATAGGATCAAAGGGCCTTTAAGGTTACATCTCTGTCTATAGCCATGATACTGCTGTGCTCTTTACCAACGACTCTTGTTAGACTAGTGACAACTATGTTTCCAAGTCTACTATCATTGGAACAGAAACATGTGCTTTTCTTTCCAGTCATGGCGATGAGTTTGTTTAACTCTTTTATTAATCTAATGTCCGATTAAGGGAGTTCCGCGTAGCTTTTATCAACAACAACTTGCATGTGGAACCACAAATCTCGTTGAAGCTGAAGAAAACGAAATGCGAGACATCAGGCCTCCCAGCGCTGGGCTAAGAGTTCAAGAAGGGAACTAACACAAATGATTTATAATTATTATTCGTTCAAAATATTTCCCGACCCAATTCTGATTGCCTAAAGACAGACTCATAATTCACCATAACAAGCTACTGATGACCAAATTTGGAAGAATTTTGCGATTAATCAACCGATGACGTCAAAAGTGCAGCTTCCTTGCAGGTTCATGCAACGTTAACCGAGAAGACTAGGGGACGAGGTTGAGTTGTTTTGGTTGTCAAAACAAAAATGGCGGACATTTCACTCGTTTCAAGAGTAAGAACTAGGCGAAATAATAGCTCAAAACATGGCAAAAATAGCAAGAAGACAACTCGAAGGGCGACACCTGCTATTTGGAGAATATTTCCGTAGCTGAGCAACCAACCCTAAACGTGCACCATCGAAGATGAACTTAAAATCGATGGAGGTAAGCATGTTTTAGTTATGTTTTTAAACTAGGAGGTATTTGGAATGAATAATAAAACAGTTATTGAATTCGGCTTTCGTATCATATGAAGAATTATTTACATCTCGGAGGGAATAAACAGCTAGGCTGCCGCTCCTGGAAACGAGGTTGATCGATACTTGGCTTTACACCAGAAGCTTAGTTAGTTTCAAGTAAGCACTTGATTTAAGTGCACTACTCAAGCTCATTAATAATTCGTAAAGAAAATACAGAGGAAATTAATGTTTAATGAGTGTTTAGAAATCAGATGAAAAACTGCTCATTTTTGCATCCTTAATTTCTCCTCGTAAAATCGTTTTCTAATAACGGAGGTTTTATAAAAACAGTTGAGAATAAAAATAAGCGATAGCAATGAATGACGTTTCGATGACTCCATGTCATCATTTTTAAATTCGTGTAGTTCTTGATTCTGTGGATTATATAGGGAGTTGCGTGCGAAAGTTTAGTTGCATGTGGTTAAAAGAGAAAAATACAATATGAAGTGTAAAAGGAGCTAATTATCAGCTTAATAGTTTTAGTGTGCTAGAGTCAGATTTCCAGGGTGTTCATTTTAGGTTTCTTTTCTTTGATAAAGAGCATTTCGTAAATTTAGCAATCCAGCTTTCCACGGCATTTCTTCAGGATGGTAAATTGGTCAAGTAGATGGCGATAGATTTATGATAATAGTAATAAAAAAATAAATATACCCGTTTATTTGCCACATTGCAGAATTAACTGAATTAAAGGGCTATAAAGTAACAATCAGCAAATAATTAACACTACTACTACACAAACAATAAAAATATATTATAACATATATAACTATTTACAAATTCACATATTTACTAGCGAATGAAATAAAGGAACCTGAACGCTGGGTCCGGCAACGACTCCTATCAGCGCAAACAATATTTCTATTGTTGTCGCTGGTCCGCAAGTTGTAACTATGACCACCAGTTGCTGTTCTCGGCTTAAGAAAGTTAATTGGGTGGTCATTTTGAGTCACCTTCTGAATATATTTACAGCAGAGCTGAGTTCGTCTTTCTTTCAAGTTGCCAAGGTTGGTAGTATTAATTGAATTAACTCCAGCTTATTTGAAAGAAATTCAGGAATATCTTTCCAGACTTGCACGTCATATTCCAGTATAGGTATTATTGTTGTCAAGTAAACTTTGAGAATTCTCTCTCTACTAATATCCACTTTTTTAAGAATCCTCAGGGAATACAGGCGTTTCGAAGCTTTTTTCGATGTGTAATCAATATGCTCGTTCCATTGTAAATCATTAATTACTGATAATAATACCGAGTAATTTTTAAGTTGTTACACATTCAACTGCGTTGTTCTAGCTAGGACAATTGGTCTTGTAGTAAAATTAACACTTTACAAAGTGATGATTTCTTTGGGTTTCAGCGCACTTTTATTTGTTTATCCGACAATAGATTAAATTACTACCTTTCTTCAAGCCTCAGCTCTTCGTTCTCCGGAGGCCTAGCGATTCGCATTTCATTTTCTTTCTCTTCAACGAGAGTTGTAGTTCCACAAGTTATAATGTCGATAAAAGCGACGCGAAACTTCCTTAATCGGACAGCGTAAATAATTGGATTAATAAAAGAGTTTAACAAGTTCATCGAAGTGATTGAAAGGAAAAACATATATCTCTCTTCTAAAGGTATTAGACTTGGAAACCTAGTTATCACTATTTTAATAACGATCATTGGTAAAGAGCACAGAAGTATCGCCGCAACAATTAGAGATGTAGCTTTAAAGGCCCTTTTATCTTTTAATAATTGTTTCCTTGTTTCTTGTGTAACTTGCTGATCTGCAATTTGTCGCCGATGTCTTCGAGTTTCAAGGTAAACTGAAAAATGACAGTAAGCTATGCAGGCAATAGATAGAAACGTTATTGTATTATCGATCATAACAAACACTGTCGTATTTTCAACAGAGGAAAAATAAACGTTAAGAATGAGGGGCAACAGCCAAGCCAGGGCAGAGGCAATGAGCAGATTACTTTCTTTGACAAGAGAGATGTGCGCAAATGGATGCTTGATGGCTAAATACCTTTCTCCACTTATCAGCAACAGATGAAGAATCGACACGCCAACGAGCATGTTTATCAGAAAGCGTAACGCCATAAATGGGCATAAATCACTGTAATAGTTGACTAAGATTGATATCAGCCAAGCGATGAACACGGGCTGAGCAAAACTTCCAGCAACAAAATCAGTGGTAGCAAGCAGAGCGATCGCGATATTGGACTTGTGGGCCCTCAGCCGTCGTTTCGTTTTCACGGCGATCATCACCAACGCATTCAGGACAGCAGTGAAAGGAAAGCTGAAGATATTGATGATTATATTCAAAATAAGGCAAACTTGAGCAAAAGGAGAAGGTTTTTCTAGTCTTCCTCCCAAGATAACATACATCCGACATTCGTGGTGCATCAATTCACTTGCGTTCATGACGGCTACTCAGATTTATCATTTGGTGGGTTGAGAACTGTTCACCAAATTAATATTCTCTCTGTTAACCTTCTACTCTTTGTTTTAAGATGGTCGTGTCACATGCACTTATCGTTGTCTGGGTGTTTTCCATGATTTTGTTTTTTACGCATAAATTTTTAGTGTTTGAACTATGTGTTAAGGGCTTTTAAGAAAACAGTTTCTTTGAGTGAAGTTCCGTATGCCATCATCATTGAGAAAAAATCTACCTTAACTACAAAAACTTGATGTGTGGTTTAGAATGGTTTTCTATCCGAGTTCCGTCGGCAAGGAATAGCCACGAAAATATTTTTTCACTTTTTAGCTTTTTTTCGGGAAAAAAGGAAAAAGAAAAGGAGAAAAGAAACCAAAACAGTTGTTTAAATAGCCTTAGAAAACATCAATAATTTAAAAGCGCTGTTAAGTTTGAGTTTCACTTAAATTACGTATATTCACTTATAAGCAACGTTTACGAAAAGTAATTGTGTTTAAAATGACTGGCAATTTAGTCAATTAAGCTAAATGTTAATTCAGCGTGTTCAAAAAAATTTCAAAATCTACGTTGCATTTTGCCAACAATTTCCTGACTACGATATTTCCAGTGAAAGAAACGTACTACATTCATACGTCACAAGAACTACATATAGGAATTCCTTCCTTTTGCCCTACTGCAGGACAAATGTGAGTAAATTTTCACTTCCTTTTTCTCTTAATGATTGTGTGAACTTTTTCGCTTCTTTCGTTTTTTTTTCTTTCCCATTTTGCATGTTTTTCTCACTTTTTCTTTTTTGCATTTGCGCGTCTAGCCTCATCCATTTTTATCCTATTTAAGTTTTTTTTTTTATGTTACAAAGAAATTGAACGTGTTTAGTTAAATTGTTTTGCCGATGCTAGTATGTTATTTCATAATTTTGGTGAAATAATAATAAAATCAAATAAAATTATCGTTAAAAAAAGTATATTCTCCTAGTGATGTACAGTGTTTTTGGGGAAGACTCGAATATCCTTCTTCTGTAACTGATTTTTTTCTTTCTTGTCCTGCTCTCTAAGGTCTCCTTTAAGACAAGAAAATAAAAAAAAAATTGATCAAAAGAAAAATGTTACTCGAGTCATGAGCAAATCACTCTACATCGCCTACTCGTTCCATCATTAATTTGTCAAGTAATATCTTAGCCGATAAACTGTTGTAAAATGCAACGAACAAAGCCTATCTTGAAACTACTTGAAAATGCTAAGCTAGCTTTTAGCTTAATTGACTTTACTGCCAGTAATTCAAATCACAATCACTGTTCGCAAACGTTACGTAAGTGGATATAAATGATTTGATTAAAGTTCAAAAATAACAAAAAGCCAAGCGCTGAACGAAGCCGAGGATTTTAAAGTCTTATTGAACATTGAAAGAGGGAACATTTGTGGTGCCGTATATCTGGATCTTACAAAGGCGTTCGATACAGTCGATCATGAGATCTTGATGCCCAAACTGTCATCAGTTGGAGTCTCCCCCGGTCTTTGGAGTGGTTCTCCGT